CATACCTTCTATTCTATTCGTGAAACCTCAAATGTGGGTTTATTTAAAATTTTTAAAATCCTAATTTGCCCTTTTATGCCTTTGAACACATGATGTAAATTTGGCATTCACATCTCTTATTTTTCTAATGGTTGGAGTGATGTTATGCTTCTAGTCTTAATCTCATTGAACAAGACTAAGGAGATTGACAGCGGCCCAAGTTCAATTAATCGCATTTCTCCTAATATAGATTACAACCATGGATAAGTAAAGATTTGGCTGATTCTGTGATGGAGAGAGCTAAAGTTCTTACAAAAATTGAGTTATTTGCTAGTATTTTTTTTGTTTTTACTCTTCAGCAACTTAAAAGAAAGAATCTGTTCCATTAATCTGTGGCAATGGAATACGCTTGCTTACATTAATTCTTTGATTATCAAATCAAATGTATTTTTCTAGAAAGTAACATTAACAATTTCCTTTTTAATTAATTTTAATGCTCGTGATCAAATTAGAGAAGAAAGTAGGGAGTGAGAGAAAGGGGGCAGGAGTAGACCATAGTGGCATTAAACTTGACTTCTATCTAGGTTTAATTACCATTTATTTATGTATTTCTTTTTGAAAATTTGGAAGAAAATGAAAAATAAAGAGTCACAAGGTATATTGAAGTCTATTTGAAATATTCAGGATACATTTCAAGTCAATTTATAATATATATATATATATATATATATATATATATATATATTCAGCATACCTAAAAGTATGCAGTAAATGATTTTGCCTTTTGGTTAAAAAAATATTGGAATCTTTTGACTTTTGGAAGCAGAAATTAATTAATACAACAGAAAATGGTTATAGGAAATTTGTGTAATGGACATTGGCTTCAGTGCTTACAAGACCGTGCTTACACCATTTGTATAGCCTTTTGCAGATGTGCATTGGAAATATCTCCATACTTGTATATTTTTTTTTTGGCCTTTGTATATTGTCACTAATGCAAATATGTAGGGTTCTCTACTTTTTATTCGGATTGAAATAAAAGGTAGGGAAATATGTACAAATTTTATATAGGGTTCTCTACCTTTTCTTTCAAACCATACACAACCACAAAGATTGGTCACCTCATCAACAATTTAGGCTCTTAGTTTGAAACGAGTACAAATGCAAATATGTAGAGTGCAAAACCTTGTATTTTGTATTATCCTGTATGTATCTATACTATATATATTTGTATTTGTACTCTAATGTTCAGTTTAGATGGAGTGCAAATACAACTATATATACGATAAAATACATGTAAAATAATACAAAATATAAGGTTTTACACTCTACATATTTGTATTTGTACTCCTTCCAAATTGAGAGCTTAAATTATTGTTGAAGTTTGTACAAATTTCCCTATCTTTTAATTTCTTTCAACCTAAATCAAGTATTTGRTTAATTAACAGATTTTTAGCTATACATGCAAACACAGCTCGACCAAGCAAGAATATCATCCATCCATTTGTAAACAGGAGAAATGGTCTGGACTCTGAACGATGATGGTCCTGAAAAGTGAGTTCAGATGCGCACAAGATTCGGCAGCATATTGGAAACTCCTCATATGAAGTACAATACATGTTCCCGTTGTGTGACTGCAGGATGTTGTGTACAGCATTTTGTGATCAGCAATCCAAACTACTCCTTAATAGTTGTTTACTAAACCATTGTTCTTTGTACATTTTTTAATACATACACTAGGAAATCATGCTCAGAAAGTCTGGAGAAGATGGATGACATGAAACCGGATAGGCGCTGGAGACAAAATTATGCCCACCGAGCTGGGCAACCTAAGTAGTGAATATGCCAATGTTCCGTAAGCACACTGAAGCTTCACTTCTGATTAGGCTGCCCAGTCTATGATTTTGTTTCAGCCAATTCAGATTTAGCTGAGGTGGGGTGTTATTATTAATTGGTAATACAGTCATCAATTGCAGCTAATAATCTGGACTTCTTCTCTATCACCTTTCCCTTTGATCCAATCGAAAGTAGGACCATTTGCCCAATGGTTTTTTTATTAAAAAAAAAAAAAGCTGTTGTTTTGTGGTCATGTTTGGGAGTACTTAAAAATAAGTGCTTATTTGTGCCAGGACCACACTATTAAGCACTTATTGGTGTTTAGGAAATAAGCCCGAAATAGGTGCATATTTTAAAAATAACGGTTTATTTTTTAAGCCCAAATTTTGAGCTATTTTTAAGTGTTTATTGTATAAGCACTTATTCAATTTTTTTTCTTCCAAAATTATCTCTAATTGAATTTTAAAATACCACTTATAAAATTATCCCTAGTTCAGTTTTATAAAAGTACTTTCGTAAAGTGATTTTATAAAAGTACTTCTTTAAAAGTGCTTTTATAAAGTGTTTTCATAAAAGCACTTTTTTGTATAAGTGATTTCGTAAAAGAATTTCATAAAAGTAAAAGTATTTTTATAAAAATGCTTTCATAAAAGTTCTTTTTATTAAAGTGCTTTTATAAAAGTACTTTCACAAAAGTTCTTTTATAAATTAAACAGCTTTCATGTAAAAGTATTTTTCATAAAATTACTTTTATAAAAGTAATTTAATAAATACACTTTCACAAGGGTATAATTTGAAATTTTGAAAGAAAATGAAAGACAAAATAGTTACAAATACTAATTTAAGTGCTTATTGGAGAAAAAGACTACCAAACCGTCAATATGAAATAAGTGCTTATTTTTTAAAGAATAAAAACTTAAAAAAATTGGGTATCAAATACAAATAAGTAAAATAAGTGCTTATTAAACTATTTTTATAAAAATAATTTAATAAAAACACTTTTTCTATAAGCGCATGACCCATGCTTAGGTGCACTGACATTGCTGAGTTGTATGATTTTCTGTTTGATTCAACTACCCTTTAATTTTGTTATTTGGGTGGAATGCTTTTAGGCGCCAAAATTGTAATATCTTCTTTTTTTCTTGGCAGTATATAAACCTGCAGGACGAGTTTTGTAAAAGTTTGTTGAAGATAGAATACAACTTAGTTCTAGTGTCTTTTTTTCTTAAAGGTATTTTCTGTTTTCTTTTATGCTGGAATCGTTCTAGAGCCACTATGAGTATCTCAAAACTTTATCACCATCTATGTGCATAGATAGATGTTAAGGCCATTAGGACTTATATCGGCAATTCTCTGTTATAGGACTACCGGCCACCACATACATATTTGGGTCGTATATTGATACAGAGAAATTATTGATCAGTTAAACTCATACTCACAAATTGTTCCCACATCCCTACCCAATACCCATTACACACTACCGCCTTATATTGAAAATATCTCGACAATAGAGATATATCCAGCGCTGTGTGTGTAGAAGTGGAAAGAGTTTGTGGGCAGGGCAGGTGACCTGCCAAACCTTGTTTAAAACATTTGATCGTTTCCTTAATTTCTAAAAGACAACAAAATTAAAGCGCACTGAGTGATTGATTGTAAGGTGCATGGTCAGGTGGTTTATATTTGAATGCGGAAGTAATGATAACGGACTTAGTCCTCCTCATCAACTGAGTATTACAACCAAAATCACATCAAAAAGAGATAGCCACTCCACTCCATTCACACGCTCACTTTGAAATTAATTAAGTTTAACATGTGCACGCAGGTTAGCATTCACCAATGGCGGCCAAAACTGATAAACAAAGTCTATCCACTTTTATATATGTTGACTTGATCCCCCAACCCCGAGACCATTTCCTAGCCTTGTTCAATTTGTAGGGTTAGGTGGAGTTGAATGGAATCATTATTAATTGGCTTTATCTTAATAAATAAATACTCAAAAATCTTTAATTACTTTTGAAGAATATAATCCAAATATAGACACATTAGTAAAGGCTCCCCGTCTCATAAATCACAATATACAAGTTGTAACCTATCATCCAGCCAGCCGGAAAACAAGACCTAAGGTCGTTACATCTATATATATATATATATATATATGGTTGGACTTGGTTGTAGCTAATTATTGTAAGGCATATTCTTAGAAAAAGGAAGACCCCGTCCAGGCTGACCCTTTCCATTGGCCAACAAGCACCTGAAGTTAAGCCTTACTTTGGCTTAATTATGTGGACTATTGCTTACCCAGACACTGGAATTTGGAGATAATTAAAATGGAATGGGTCCATGTATATCCAGAGACCAGAGAATATCAGTTGCTGGCTTGTGACTTCGGACCTCCTTTCTTTTATCTTTTCCTTGTATTTTCCTTCAAACCAAGTCACCAATTTTTGCGTATTTATTCTCTTTTCAAACGGAGAATTAGTCTATTAGATATGTAAAGAAAAAAATTAACAGCACCCGGATTCCGGAATGGAAGTGCAACCCTAATCCATTTAAATTGGATTCCTGACACATTTTTTACATTCTACTTGTCCTTGGATTTTCTTGCTATCTGTCTAAGATTGACCATGTGCTACTATTTACAAATTAGAACACCACGCGGGCTTCAATATATTTTCTTGGAATGGCTAACATATATGCATGATCTTATTATTAAAAGCCCCAATCATTTTAATTATTTAAAAGTTACAAAAAAAAAAAACTTAAATATATGTGACTGATTGGATCACTGATGATTCATTTAAAACTTCGCCTTGAACGTTGGATCATGGATGAAGTACAAGTACCTACTTCATCAACGGATATGGAGAAATAGTAACCTCGATTTATGGATCTTATATCTTGCCATCTTTAATTTGAAATTAAGGCTTTGTGATGATCAACTACAGTCATTTACATTCTACCACCGTCTGATCAGGATCGGCAGGTTGATTTGGGGCCTCTTATTGGTCAAACAGAAGACTACAGTAGCTGAGTTTTCTGTCCGAGCCAAATTACTGGCCAACGGCCAACGCGGTAACGAGGTGGGAAGTTTCCATGAAGCTACAACTAGAAGCCTTGTTTAGATTGGAACCCATTAATGAAAAATCATTTGACATTTTAGAAATCACAAATTTGACTTTCCCTCCTTGGCAATTTGGTATTGAAGGGAGACTTGGAGAGGAAGGCGGTGTTTCCTCACTCTTTAAATCCTCCGCTCTCTGCTCACATTATACATACAAAGTATAATCCTGTATTCCTGTCCTCTACCTGATTCTGAGATTTACAAGATTATTGGGGCGTGGTTTTTTCTTCTTCAGACAGAGACTTCTAAGTTCTAACCCATTATCCATTATCCAGACCTACTCTTCTAGATTATGTCTATAATAAGACCCATCATCTATTACGACCTCAGCAGCCTCCGTCGTGGATCCTGGGTTTCTGTTCCCAACCCAAATCGACTTCTGTTCAGCTCAACCTCCAAATATGGGAATAATTTCCTCGCAAATCGGGGCTTGTTGTCACTCGGCATCCTCAGCTTCAGCGGCAGAGTACTCAATAAAACCAACACCAAGATGTAATCTTCTATATAATCCATCCTTGCTTTTAGTTTTATTTTCTTTACCTTAAGCCAAGTTGCAGAGTCGACTGGCGGTCTTGGGATCCAATGCTCAAATCCATTAGGATTTGAAAATTTCTTGAGGATTCATTGACAAAATTCGATGTTGCCTAACTATATATGTAGGGACGTGACCGTCTACAGCAGTGTTCAACCCGGTGGATCGCCTTCCAACTCATGGTAATAATGGTTGGTTTGATACTAATTAATGGTTGTCTGGACCGATTCTCCTTATCTAACAAATTAAAGGTTTACCTGTTTCTGTTTAAACCTTTCAGGAGAAACTGGATTTTCGGAATGCTGATATCGATCATTCTACCCTTTTGGAGGAACAAATGGGCACCATTACTAACGCTGAAAAGTAAGGACTAACAAACTTTGTCTGGCCTCACTATACTACATTAGCCATAAACATATATAAGAAAACGATCTACTCATTTCCTGCTGCTTTCTGAAAATTAAGACACGCATGTTGGGACTGTTCAGGGGAGGTGGATACTGTGGTAGAGACCATTGAAAATGTGGTGAATGTGGTAGAGGTTGTGGCGGAGGAAGTCGAAAATGTAGCTGATGAGATTGCCAAAAAGCTTCCAGAAGGTGGAAAGCTCAAGGAAGCTGTTTGTGCTGTTGAACACATAGCTAAAGAAGCAGCCAAGGATGCACACTTAGCTGAGGAATTCTTGGAAAAGGTAGATATAGCTATTATTAGTATTTACCCAATAATTACAACATCTTTTTCGTCACTTCTCCTTTTGCATCGATCATATGTTCTTTTTCTGTTTTTTCTCTTGGAGTTATATAGGGCATTGTTAAGCTCAAGTCTCATTGTGGGGTTTAATAACGGTGACTTAGGTTTCCTTTTTAAGGTTTAGAAATTCTGATGTTTCACATGAAAATGCAGGTAGAGGAAGTGGAGAAAGATGTGGAGGCACTCATTGAACCGATCCTGGCTCAATCAAGTAGCAGAGAAGACGATGAACAAAAATAGAAAAAAGGATGTTATTATTGCCTACAATAAAGGAATATCAAGAGGCAAGAGCCCCATCTACTTGTATAAAGATCATCATACAAAAATGTTGAATTCATTTGTGACACTAATAAATTAATTCATTTTATTTTTCAATATTATTTCATCATTACTTCTCCCCCTCTCTCTCTCCCCCCCAGTCCGTAGGACAGAAACAACAAAAGAAAAAAACAAAAAACCTCAAACAACAAGATGTGTTAAATGATTTGAACTACCATTTTCCCTCTTAATCCCCATCTCTGAGTTTCGCTGCCTCCACCAATGATGAAATAAGCAGCTTGATTAATTGCCATCACAGAAGAGGAGAGTTGCTTTTAGGTGTTGACTTCTCGTCTAAGCCAAAAGAAGTGGTTCTCCAGATATCCAAAGCTGTTAAATGAATAGCAATATTGGGAGATGGGTCAAGCTTTTTGTATTCATCATATTTGCTTTGTCTCGCTAAAGAAATATTGCTGATTTTCATTGCTGCTTTTGCCGCTACTAGCTAGTTATCTAATGCGGTGTTGCCAATAAGTTTCGTTACTTTGCCTTTCAATATTCTACCAGAATGGTCCCTTTCTATTTATATCCTCCTATTCCTAGGCAGTTGGGTTCAGTCTCGGCAGAGTAGTATCTATGGGTTTGCTGCGGAAGCTTTAGCAGAAAAATATGGTGCTCAAAATCTGATTCAGGGCCTGAGACGGCATCTCTCTGAGTCTGAGGCATTTTCTTAACCAATTTCTGCAGTTGTATTGATCCAAATACCTTGGTGTTGGCCAACCCTCTTGCTCCAGCGCCATGTTTTACAGTTGAAGGTTTGAAACTTTAGCAGAAAGCCAGCCAGCAACCCATCTCGATTCTCGTCTCGGCCCACCCAAGTATTTGCTAAGCTTCGAATGAAATGGAGTTGTTTTTGAAGTGGATATCCGAATGGTCCCATCACCCATGATACGAAAGGGAAATAGTTATTGTTCCGGAAATTAAAGCAAAATTATAAATATTGGCCAACATCCCCTAAGGTGAGCGCTCACCCATGGTTTCACCTCTCGACCTCCAGGGTGTGAAAACTGTGGAACTTTAGGATGTGTTTGGGTTTGAAAGAAAAGGTAGAAAAAGGAAGGGAAGGGTAGGGAAACCTATACATCAACGACTTATTTTAGGAACAAATCGATTAATGGCTCCTAGAGAAAAATAAAATAAAATGAGTTATACACGTCCAAGGACCAACATTTTTACCACGTGGAGAGGTGACAGAGTTGTGTTCACTCCCTCAACCTCAAGTTGAAAAACTAAAGGTTATTTAGATCACTTTCCTAAACAACTCAATCTATAATCTGGGCTGTCAGGCAAACCTTGCTTCAGGTGTATTAAACTGAAAAAAATAAAATAACACTTGATCCAACCACTATTAGTATATTGGAGGGTCATTGTCTTATACAGTTGGGCCCGCAGAATAATTGATAAAGCATAAGATAATCGTGCTCACACCTTACTCTCTACCATGTGTTGTCAGGCAACTTCACTAGCTAAGCCTAAGAATAGTGAATTAACACGATCCAATCCTAGCAATACAAATGTACCATATTGGGCCAGAAATTGGCCCCAGGTAAGTTGGCCCAGTAACAGAAAAAAAAAAAAATCCGTCGTTAAGAGCCCATATTCATGAGTATGACCAATCTTGTACTGTCCCTGTCCTCTTCGAAGGTGAAACTCTAGTCATCTAACCTTATGCCCTAAAGAGAGATAAATTGTTCTGCCAAAGCATTAAGCAATAAGCATGCCATCAGCTGGGTGGGCAATCATCAAAAGGTGGGTTAATATTTAGGTAGAGACAAGGTTTAGAATATTGAGAGTGGAGGATTTACCGAATAATGCAAGAGGGCATAATGAGACTAGTGATCTAATCCTCCTTAGTATATTAACTCCCAAGAAATTAGAATACCAGTTTGATGTATGGCACACATACATTTTTCTTTGTTAGTGCCACTACTCAATAAATTTAAATATAACAGTACAGAGTACAGGACATTTTGGTATTGGTGCATCTATAATAATAAAAACACATGAAATTCTTTCTAATGGTGATAAAACTTGGTCTGCAATTTGGGTTGGGTTTAAAAAGCGGGTGGGGTTGGGTCAGGCTGACAATTGGGTTAGGGTTAGGGTTGAATTTTCAGAACCCAATTTTACTTTGGGTTGCGCTAGGGTCCTTGGGCAACTCGACCTAATCATCTGAACCTGACTTTACTATTGCTATTGAATATGCGTATTATATTCCCACAACCTATTATTAATTCATTTGTCTTTTGACGCTTAAGCCCTAATCCTAATGACAGGTTAACATTAGTGATTTTCATTTCATAGTTTTATATTCCTTAACAATGATGATTTCATAACTTTAGATTTTCAATAAGACATCTATTATAATGTATGATAGACTTTAATTATTTGAAACATTACTTTTGTCAATAAGACATCTATTATAGTGTAAAATGTCATCGGTGTAAAAATACATTGATGATGTTTTACACTGAATCAGAAAGTGATTGTTGCTTTTTTGAAAATAGTGATGGGTGGGAGAGCATAAAGTTTTATGTCGATAAAATCGATGTAATTTTTGCATTGATTATCGATGTAGAACTTTAGAGGTGATGAGGTTTTACATCTATTATCGACATAAAATTACACTCCATCCAAATGCACTTAAAACTGAACTGGAGTATAGTTTTACATCGATAATAATAACATCCTCTTTCCAAACACATACAAAACCAAACCGATATAAAATTTACATCACATCTAAATGCAGCCAAAAGAACTAATAAAGACATCAAATAAGCAAATACCCATAAAAAGGTAGTCGATGTATGACCATAAAAGTTTTTGTTTAGGGTCTCTTAAACAAATATTAAGAAATTTTGAAATATTATATAAGATTTTCAGAGAATGGGAAGTTGGATTGGGATAGGATTGAAGGATTAATTTTAGATTATTGGATAGGAGTTAGGATTGAATAGATTGGGTTGAAGGTTGGACTAAGTTATAGGATTAGGGTTGGGGTTCAAAAGTTGGTCTAGAGTTGACATCAATCTGAGTATCTGACCTAACCCAGCCCAACTTGCCCCTTAAAGCAAACTCAAAACCTCGGAAGTAGAATTTGCCCAACTCACTGACCTTTTGGCCAAAACACAGCAACAATGGTCCCTATCTGGTTCTGTGGCTTGGCCTCGTGGGGAAGCCAATCCGGAACATCCATCGAATTAGGAAGTGTTTTAAATAGCCAACTTGTTTCTGTGCTTAACTTTTGAATCTCATCATGTCCCCCCACCCTCAACACATGAAAACAATAAAAAAGAAAAAGAAAAAACAACTTTGAATCTCATCATTAGACGTGTTTCACAAGTTACAAGTTACATGGACACTAAGTTATAAAAATTTAAAATTTGAAAAAAAAAATGGAAATTTCCTGTACTTTTGAAATGAAAAATGTTTCCCATACTTATTCAGATATAGGCTCAAATATCTTATCTGCATCACATAAATTTGTTTAGCAAAATCTTCAATTTGATGTGCTTACATGAGCTGAATGTCATTTTCACAAATTTTCATACATCCAAAAGTATCATGCCATTGCAAACTTAGATCTTACTAGTAAATATGCACTTATGTTGCGTTGCACGTGGCAATTTTATATAACATTTTAGAACCATTTAAAAAAGATAAGGAATTAAAGTATAGTGTGCTAGTGGATTTAGAATTTGTATTTCACTTTTATTGTTAATAAAAGAAATTTTTATTTATCATATTTATTTTTATTGAATATGATAAATATATAATATTAGAGATGTGCACAAATTTTATAGACAAATCTTTGTGTTTTTTATATTTTTTAGTATTTATTTTATAATTATGACATCATGTGCTTGTTTATTTGACTTGAAAAAAAAAGTAAACTCATTTTTAGAAAATTTTAATTTTCTTATTCCATTTACATAATTAGTTATAAAAATAATTCTTGTTTATCACTCTTATTTTCGTTTGATATGATAAAGTTATAATATCTTAGATATGTCAAAATTTTCTATAAATCTTATGTTTTTTCATTTCTATATTTTTTAATTTTATTATTTAGGTATGATATCATTGGTTAACCCATTTACCCAAACAATTGGACCATTATGGTGCAAGTCAAGTAGGTTGAGCTGAATTTAAGCTTAACCAAGGGCCAGCCCTAGGCATTGGACCTAAAGGCTTCAAATCAAAGTCAAGCTTGTCCATTCCAACTTGGGTCCAACATCCAACCTGCATAGAAATTTGATGCACTTGGGTTAGACTTGGACTTAGGTCCAACAATCTGCCCCATGACAAAATTTGACATAAAACATGTGTATAATTGTATATTCATGCATGTATACAAATATGTGCTATATATGTATTTATGATTGTGTATATATAATCAAACCTAACTTTAGCTACTTGAGGGACCCAAACCTAAGCCTGGGCCCAATTTGAAGACAAAAAATCAAAGCGAGCTTGTATAAAATTAAGAGTTTGGTCGATTTGAGTTCGAGTTATGTCCACCTAATTTGCCTCCGTATGGACCACTAACCATCAATTAGATGCAAAAACAATTTTCTTTTTACATTAGTTTAGCTTTTAATTTTATTTCTATCATTAATAAAAAACTCTTATCTATCACACTTATTTTTCTTTAATGTGATGAATACATAATATTAGAGATGCACCCAAATGTTTTTCTAGAAAATTTTCTATGTTTTTAATAACTTTTGTGTCTTTATCTATTTTAAATTATTATTATTAATTCATGATATCATGTATTGATCCATTTGACCTGAAAGGTTGAACCATTGACCCACCACTTGAATAGTCAAACCCATGGTTTCATTTTATGATATCTCATTTCCATTGAATAAGAATAGTTTTATTCAGTATGCTTATTGTTGTTAGATTTGATAAATAGATAATATTAGATATTTACTTAATTTTTTTTACAACTTTTTTATAATTTTTGTAATATTTATATTTATTTTTATTTTTAAATTTTTATTATTTAACTATGA